CCTTATTATTATTTTATATATACTGTAATTATTCATATATTCATTTATATACCTTTTTATATTTTTATTTTATATACTTATTTGTATATATATATATATATTTATATATATATAAATATAATTATATATACTGTATTATTATTTTATATATACTGTAATTATTTATATATTTATTTATATATATATTAATATATTTATATATGTATATTTATATATTTATTTGTATATGTATTTATATATATTTATATGTTTATATATTTATTTATATAATTATTTAAATTTTTTTATATATTGTGTGTATGTATTTTTTATATTTATATATATTTATATATATTAATATGTTCATATATTTATATATATATTTATATATATATATTTATATATATTTTTTGTATATTTATTTATATATTTGTATATATATATATACATATTAATATATTTATTATTATATTTATTATATTTATTTGTATATATATTTATATATTTATTTGTATGTATTATTATTTTATATATACTGTAATTATTCATATATTCATTTATATATCTTTTTATATATTTATTTGTATATTTATTTATATATATTTATGTATTTATATATTTATTTATATATTTATTTGTTTGTATATTTATTTATATATTTATTTGTATATTTAATTGTACAAATAAATATACAAACAAATAAATATATAAATAAATATATAAACAAATAATTATATATAAATATATAAACACAAAAATATATATATGAATAAATGTACAAATAAATACATAAATAAATATATAAATGAATATATAAATATATATACAATTAAATATATAAAAATAAATATATTATATTATATAAATGTATATAAATATATATGTAAATATATATATATATATATAAATATATAAATAAATATTTAAAAAATATATGAACATATTAATATATATAAATATATAAATAAATATACAAATTTGTTATTTGTTTGTATATTTAATTGTATATCTATTTATACTTATTTAAGTATAAATAAATGTACAAATAAATATACAAACAGATAAATATATAAACAAATAATTATATATAAATATATAAATACAAAAATATATATTAATAAATGTAAAAATAAATACATAAATAAATATATAAATGAATATATAAATAAATACAGTATATATATAAAATAATAATACAGTATATATAAATAAATATATATACAAATAAATATATTGAAATAAATATATTAATAAATATATTAATATTATATAAATATATATATAAATTTATATAAATATATATAAATATATATATGTAAATATATAAATAAATATTTAAAAAATATATGAACATATTAATATATATAAATAAATATACAAATAAATATAATGAACATATATGAATATATTAATAATATATGAACATATTAATATATATAAATATATATATAAATAAATATACAAACAATATATAAACAAAATTTTAAATAATTACATATAGGCCTACAAATAAATATATAAATATATATAAATAAATATTCAAATAAATATACAAACAAATTTATAAATAAATATATAAATATATAAATAATTACAGTATATATAAAATATTAATACAGTATATATA